CCGGCCGTGCACTCACCGTCGGCGGGCCCCCGTGGGGCGCAGCCAGGCCGGGCCGCGGGGACCGGGGCGGCGGGGTCAGGCTCATCCTGGTGCCAGCAAGCCACTCGCAATGTGCAGCCGGGGCCCGGCCGCGTCTCACCCAGCTCCGCCACGTGCGGGGCCTGTGGCCGACGGAAGTGCACCTGGCTCCCCGCCCCGGGGCGCGGGAGGCCGGGCCCAGGGTGTGGTCAAGGCTCCCGGGTTGCCTGGGCTCAGGTCTAGTACCTGAGCCTCCGGAATCAAGGCACCTTTGTGACCTTCAGGCTTCCTGTCAGTCAAAGGAAGGATGCAGAGCAATTGACACTGCCAACCCACTACCCACCTTACCACAGTCCTGGGAGAGGTGAAGGGTCGTTCTAGCCCACGGTTCTTAGTAACTCCTGGCAACTCTGGTGGCTTAGTGCCAGGAAAAGATATGTGGTTCAAATGCACCAGCTGTTGCCTGGTTCAGACTTGATGGGACACAACACTACAGGAAATGCACAATGTCACAGATCAGCTGAGGTTATGTTTACTTGTTAAAACATCCCTTTATAGAAAGAGGAGAGAGGGGTGACTCTCCACTCCTTAAATGTGAGGTGTGCATAGGTACTTACAAAAAAAAAAAAAAAACAGTATGGAATGGGGAGGGCAGAACTTTATGAGGGAAAACCTAACAATACCTCAGTCAGGTGATCAAAGGCAAGATCAGCAATCCCAAGTCATGTTCACTGTGTTTCTTTGATATGATGTGATAAACAAGTACTTTACCTCTGTGATTATCTGCCTAAGAATGTTTCATTTGAGTCTAATTGGAGGAACAAGATCAGATAAATTCTGGTAGGAGGCATTAGACACAATACCTGGTTGGTTCCGACTCAGTGACCTCCTCACAGAAGTGCCCAGAGTGTTTCCAAGAACGTCAATCTTTATGTAGTTATGAGTATGACATATAGTTATGTCTCATATGTACATCTCTGGGTCTATATGCAGCTCAGTGCTCTAACCATTGTGACACCAGTGTCCCTAATACCTGACCAAATGGAAGACCTCAAACATATCGCCTTCAAGTTGGTTCTGACTCCGAGCGAAACCCTCGTGTCCCCAAGGCTGTAGCTGTTGGCGGGAGGCAGCCCAACTGTCTCCAACTGGTGGGTCATTTTGGTTCACAGTGCAACTGGTGACCCACCACCACCACCAGAGTGCCTCCTTAAGTCGCCACAACCATCAAAAACAAGGAAAGCCTGACTGTCACAGCCCAAAGGTGCCTAAGAGACTAGCAACTAGTGTAATGTGGTCTCTTGGGACTAAAAATTAGATTTTTGAAGTTTTTATTAGGTGGAAACTAAGGAAATCTGAAAAAGCGTTGTTATGGTGGTGGTGGTGGTGGTGGTGGTGTACCACTGACTCAGAATCAACTCATAACTGACCTTCCAGCAGGTTATAGAGGCTGTAAGTCGCACAGAAGGATTTTTCCATCTTTCTCCTGTGGAGCAGCTGGTGGATTTGACTTTTTTAACAATACTGTGACAATATTAGTTAACTAGTTGGATAAATGTACAATTATACTAATATAAATGTTAAGAATGGATGATATTGAGTTGTGTAAGTTGTACTACCCTTTCAAATTTTCTACAACTCTAGAACTATTCTAAAGCTAAAGTCTAAAATAAAATCTGACTTAGTTTAAATATAATAAAAATTACCAACCAGCATCTCATGGAAGAAGATGAAGCTCTGGAGTGAAACAATCTGGGAGGGACTTATGGCTGGCCACTTGCCAGCTGGGAAACCATCCATAACTTGCTCTCTGAGACTCAGTTGCCTCTTTTGTAAAACACACGAGAGAGTACCTTACTTTGTTAGGATTTAATTAAGTGAAACAATCCACAAAGTTTCCCTAAATTCCTTGATGGTGTTTGTGAATCCCACCTGGGGTGTTTGTTAAATACCATTCTCTGGTCCCCATTCCAGAGTACTGAAATAAAATCTCCAAAGAAAGGGAATTGGAAATCTACATATTTAATGAGCATTCAAATGATTTTACTTAAATTAGAAAATCAGGAAATTCTGAACTAATTAATTCATGGACTTTTCCTACAGCAGCACCCAAGAAAAGTCAGCTCATTGCCCTGCTTTGCTCCCACCCTCCCTTTCAGCATTACTCTATCTATCTGTGAATTCCTTCCCAACCAGCCCTCTTTTTTCTCCTTTCCCATGTGAACCCAAGAGTTACTGATAATAACTTTGTCTGGAGGTTGGAAGCTTAGGGCACAAATACCTGAGGCATGTCACCACCCTAAAGATAGGAGTGCAAATAATGAGAGAGTAATAGAGCTTAAGAAAATATGCTAGACATACAACAATGAGTTAATTTTTTTTTTCTAAGTGAGCTAGGGGAGGGGAACAGGAGGGGAAGAGAAGAAAATATGCATCAACAAATGAATGAAAATCTAACTTTTCTGTAAACTTTTGTCAAAATTGCAATTTTTAAAAAGTGTGCAAAAAAAGAAAACATGCTAGACTTCTGTTGCCAGCAATATGGATTATGGATGGAAGGCTCAGACACAATACATTGCTGTTAAGTCAGAAACAACTTCTAGCTGAGCCTCCAGGTGGGTTTTCAGAGGTTGTAAACGGCATGGAAGGAGATTGTCCATCTCTCTCCCTCAGTGCAGCTGGGGGATTCGAACTATCTGTGTTTGGGTTGGCAGCACAATTCCTCACCCCTTAGTCCAAAAGAGTTCTTTATGAAAGGTTAGATATTCTGAAATATTGCAGCTATAAAAGGTTTAAAAATATGGAAAACAGTGAGTATGTATGTCTACATGGCTGAGCAGACAGAAAAGTCAAGAAAACACTGAGTTTTTCTTTTACTTTACAAAAAGAAGAGCTAACTGGAGGGGAGGGGTGGGCAGGGAGAAAAATGCAACAATGAATGAATGGAAATCCAAAGTCTCTGCAAATGTTCATTTAAAAAAAAAGAAAGAAAGAAAATTCTCTGAGATGACTGAGCACTGACTCTGTGGACTGCTCCAGGGGTATTTCCAACACTCCAGTGACCTAGAACTTTCAAGGGGAAGGGGAATAGAATACAAAACCTGCAACACTCACAAGGTAGGGGTGATATCAGAGACTATAAGATTAGGGGAGAGAATTGCTATTCAAAGGTAGAAGGGTAGAAACTTCTTTGTTCTAGTGTTTTGTTTTCTATGAAGGAAAGTTTACCCTGAAAAGTTTTGGTTATGAGAAGGGTACAAATAGATCCAGGGCCTAAATATTCACTCTGTTGATGATTAAAAAGCCCAAAATGCATAACTGGACTTTGACTCACCAGAAGCAAACACTAAGAAAGTTGAAAAAAGCAGAATGAGGGAATAAGAGCCACAACTTCATGAGACCAGAAAGACTAGATGGTGCCTGCTACCACCACTGACCACACTGAATAAGGCCAGGCCACAGTCGTTGGTCCCAGATAGAATGGCAGAAAAGTATGGAATGAAACTCAACTTATTATTAAAAAAATAAAAGTTAGACCAAGTAGAACAGTAAAGATTAAAGGAACCCCTTTGAGACTATGGCCCCAGAGACACTCTTTAAACCTAGAACTGAGCCACTGCCCTAAGATCCTTTTTTAGTGAACTAGAAGCTGGACTTTATGAAGAGGAATGTGGCATCAGGATTGAGGGAAGATTCATCAACAACTTGCATTATGCAAATGACACAACCTTGCTGTCAAGGTTGTCAGTGAAGAGGAACTGAAATACTTGCTGCAGAAGATCAAAGACTATTATCTTCAATATGGATTACATCTCAACATCCAGAAAACAAAAAATCCTCACCACGCAGTCAAGAGGCAACATCATGATAGATAGAAAAAAGATTGAAGTTGTCAATAATTTCTCTTGCTTGTATCTGCAATTAAAACCCTTGCTACCAGCAATAGCAAGAAATCAGAAGACATTTGCATTGGGACAATTTGCTGTCAAGGGCCTTTCCAACATGCTAAGAAGCAATGATGCAGTTTATGATGCAGTTTAAAGACTAGGGTACAATTTAGAACAAAGACAGACCAAGGTATGCTTGATACAAACCATAGTCTTTTCCATTACCTGTTATCCACCTGAAAATTGGACAGTGAGTAAAGATAATAGAAGAATCAATGCCTTTCAACTGTGATGTTGGAGAAGAGTACTGAATGTCCTATGTTCTTCCAGAAGAACAAATTACTGTATCTTGGAGAATGTGTAACCAGGGTGCTCTCTAGAAGCAAGGATAATGAAGCTTCATTTCACATACTTTGGATTTGATGTTGGGAGGCGCCAGTTCTTGAAAAAAGACATCATGCTTGGCAAGGTAGAGAGAAAGTCAGTGAAAGAGAGGAACACCCTCAACAAGATGGTTTGACACAGTAATTGTTAACAACGGACTCAAGTGTACTAGAAATGATGAGGATGGCACAGGATAGGGCAAGGCTCAGTTCTGTTGTTCATAGGGTCACGATGAGTTGGAGTTGTCTCAATGGCACCCATAAACAACAACCTAAATATTAATGCTCTATTTTAAAAGGAAAATAATTTGCACATCCATGTTTATTGTGGCTTTGTTCACAATAGCAAAGAGCTGGAAACAACCCAAGTGCCCATCAACAAACGAATGAATAGAGAAGCTCTGTTATAGTCACATGATGGAATACTATGCAGAATTGAAAAAGAAGGAACGCATGAAATATTATACAAAATGGGTGACCCTGGAGGACATTATGCTGAGTGAAATATCTCAGTCACAAAAGGACAAATATTGTATAGGGCCACTGTTGTAAAATGGGACTGACATCAGGGTTGAGGGAAGACAAAGGAGGGGAGGAATGATGTATACTGGATTGAAACAGATGAGGGAGAGAACTGTTTAAAAGGGATATATGACTGGGTATTATTGTCATGACAGGAGTACAGAACGAAGGCTGCACAGTAGAGAGGACCTGGGGGAATGGATTGCAGAACAATGAAAGCGTTTTTCTTTTCAAGGAGAAGAGTGAATTAGGGGGAGAAGGTGGGCAGGGAGGAA